AGTGCTGGCCCCTGTCCCCTGTCCTCCTCAGCCAGCAGATGTGGCACTCTGCCCCTTGTTCCCATCAGTGCCAGCATGCACATTCCTAGCCTTGTTCTCACGCTCCTGCTCTGGTACCCGTGCTCACACTGAGTACAAGCAGCCCTCGCTCCATTCCTGCTTGCAGCAGTGTGCAGCTCCTGGAGCACACACGTGTGCAGGGCAGTGTGTGTCCCACTCTGCTCAGCACAGCCATGGCCCACGGCATTTCCAGTGTGGGAATCAGACCCCAGGGCAGTGATGGGATGATGTTACCAAAGCTTGCTCAGGAATGAAGAAAGGACTGCCCAGGTGGCCCAGTCCACAACAAGACACCATCACCCATGAGGCTCACAGCACAAATGCTTGGCAGCACACAAGAGCTTGCTCTGCTCATCCAAGCTGCCCGACAAGCCAGCCCCATGCTGCCACCTCTGCCCTGAGCCAACCTGCTCAGGGCTGTGCAGATTTTGCACCGCTCAGTCCTGTTAGCAACAGCACTGTGGCCACCAGCTCCTTCCCCAGCCCCACACCAAGGGGGCTCCAGCCGAGCTGAGCACCCACAGCATGTTCTCCCTGAGCCATGCACCCTGCGTGCGAGCAGTCCACGTCCCACGCACGCCACCAGCCCCGTTCTGGCCCAGTCGCAGCTGCAAAGCCGCAGCTACCTTGCGCTAATTAAAAATATCCCTCGTTTGAAGGAGCCAAAGGGCTGCTTCCTCTCCACTGCACTAAGCTGGCGTGGGTTTGAGGGATGCCGTCCCCACCCTGCAAAATACGCAGGCCACCACCGCCTTCATCCTTGGCCAGACCGTGGCCACTCCGCTACCCGGGGCTTATTTTTAGCTCCTGTTAAAAAGGAGAGGCAGGGTGCTGGAGGCAGGCAGTGAGCAGCCAGGTACCCAGCTGGACCCCGTGGTGGCAGCAGCCTGTGGCTCCAGAGCGTGTCCTGGCCATCCTCCACCTGCCCCGCTGGCCTGTGTCCCCACACGGGAGGGGGCCGGGTGCCTGGCCCTGGTCCCAGCCCCGGTGGGAAACAATAAGAGGGATGCTGACCCCGGGAGCCCTGACGTCAGCCAGCACCGCTGCCGGCACCACCGGCAGCCCTGGCCCCGGGGCTCCCACTCGCCCTCGGCTGGGGCCGCACTGGAAGCTGCCTGTTTGTTTATCTTCCTCTCCAGCGTTGCTTGTTTTGATGGTACATCCTCCTCCTCCTCGCCGGGCCCCGGGGTCGAGCCGTGAACCCGCCGCGTCCTGTTTGCCGAGGTCCCGCGCTCCGCTTGCGGAGGTGCGAGCAGCCGCCCCCGCGGGCCAGCCACAGCAGATAAAAATACACAGGGCAGAGCATCCTGGGGAGCGGGGGCTATATTTGCACTGATGGTATCCGTGAGCGTGTCCTCGATGTACCTGTCCCTGCCCTCCTCAGAGCAGGAGGCATGGCAGGAACCTGCTCACCCTTCTCCCTCTAAGTCAGACCGCAGACTCTGGCATAAGCTGTGTCATGAAGGGCTGACCATAGCCAAGCTAGGGCAGGGTCTCAAAACCCATGGGTGGGCACCCCACCCTGCCCTGTGGCATCATTTCTGTAACCCAGAGGGACACCCGGGGACAAAATATCCCCAAACCTGCTGGGTCCTAGACTGCTGGGAGTGGCGCTGGGGAAGCCTCGAAGCACCGAGCCCTCTCCAGCCACCTGCTCCTTCCCCTCATGGCGTGAACCCCTGGCCTTGCCAATAAAAGCCACCAGCTTTGCCTCGGCTTGTGCACAGCCACTGCTCTCCTTCCAGCTCTGCTCAAGCCCAGGCAGCTGCTCAGCAGTGAACCCTTGCCAAAAACTGTGTGTGTGAAAGCATCATTTCCTAAACGTATAAATATTACCAGGGCTTTGCTGGAAAACTCCCCATGGTTAGTTAAAATGCCCTGGACAGCCAAGTGCACACAAGCCCAGATAAAGGGCATGTCTAAGCTGAGAGGCTCTACAGCTCGGCCCTGGGGGACTGACAGGTCCTTTCCTCTCCACGTGGGATACAGCAAATATCTGGGAAGTGAGCAAAGCTGTGGAGCACTTGACCACATCCAGCCCTGTACCACGTCATCACAATCCCTTCCAGCCAAGAGGTGCTTACCACAACCAAACATCTAGAACCTGTAGCCCCATTTCACAGGTGGAGATACTGGAAGGACCAATAGGTCTCTCTTCTTGACCTCCTGTCCACTGATGTTCAACCATGCACATCCCAAGACCAAACCCAGCAGCTTGGTTTTCTTCTAGGCATGCTCCTAGCACACTTTCAGAGACATTAAGAGATGGAGGATTAACCACTGCCCTTGGGAACGTGCCCCAACCACTGGCAGGAGCAAACCCAAGCACCTCCATTCTAACTTGAAATTCCCTGGCTCTATCTCCCAGTGCCTGGCTTGTGCTCCACTGCTCTCTGCAAGATTAAAGAGAGTCCTTCACTAACCAGCATTTTCTCCTTGTAAAGACCCACACACACTGTAATCAAGGCGCCTCTCAATTTTCTCCTTGATAAGCTAGACAGAACTCTTCCCTTCCAAGTCCCTCAATGATGGGCTCTCTCCCCAGCCCTCAATTCATTCCTGGGACTCTGTGCTGATTGTCCAGCATCTTTTTGAAAACCTAGACATGGGAGTTGCTCGCAGCATTCCCAACTCCCCGCAGCATGTCCTGAGGGACCCCAGCTCCTTGTGCTGCTCCCTTCAGGAGCTGACAAAGAGAGTATTAAATTGCCTGGAGGCTCTGAAGTAACTGCACAGAGACAATGAGGTCATCCAGACCACCTTTCTGACACAAGATGAGAGACAGGAGTGAAAGGCTAGTTTTGGTGGTGAAGAGCTGAAAAGCCATGTTTGGTGTTTCTGACTAACACAAGATGTAGGAGGCATCAGGAGTAACAACGGGGTACCACATTCAAAGCAAAGGCAGCAGCTGTTCGCATCTCACAGCTCATTGCTGCAGGATGGCATCATCAGCGGGTTTATAAAGAATAGGATGAATGCAGAGAGGACACACACACTCCCAGCAGACCAAATGCACAACTGCATCCTTCCACCAGCCTCTCCCCTGCAGTCAGTGCTCAGACCTGGCTACCAAAGGATACAGAGGGGCAGCATGTCCCAGAGCCTTCCATTCCCTATCCTGGACTGTTCTTGGGACACAGAGCACCAACCACATCCCATATTTTCAGCCTCTGCCAGATGTGCTCCACACCAGCTGCTTTTGCCAGGCTCTGTGCAGGGCTGCCTCACTCCCCTCCTGCCCACTCTGCACCTTCCCCCACGTCCCACTCCCTACCACCTTTTGGAGGACTCTGAATTTCAAGCCTGATGTTCATCTTTAGCAGATGTTGTTCAGATGACTCTTCTACAGAGACACTTTACCATCCCCCTATCCTGCACATCTGCCTGCACCCTTCCAGTGACAGCACTGAAACATTTATTGACTGCTTCTGCCATGTCTGGTCCAGTATAAATCATTTTACCACCTCTGTCTACTGATAAGCTTATCCTGTTGCTGGGAGCTTGGGTTTTTCTCCTACTACACTAAATAAAAGCCTTTCCTTCTGTTCATTGCCATGATTTTTCCCTGATGTCTTTTGCTTCTGTTACCCATTTTCTACACTTCATAATTTCTAATTTATATTGATTGCTATCTACTCCCGCTCTCCCATTTGTTATAAACTGCTCTTTTATTTCTAATTGCTGCCTTCACTTTGCCGCTGAACCAGAACGGGCTCTGGGCCAGCGCTGCCCTCTTTCTTGATTGTGGAATTGTGGCTTTTTGTGGCTTCTGAAATTCTTCTGAAAGAGCTCACCATTTTCATTCACATTTTTCTATCTAAATGTTTCCTCTGAGCTGATTTCACTCATAATTTTCCCTCTGCTATGGGAAATTAGCTCTTTCAAGGCATGAAGGATATAAATTACTGCTTAGGAATGTCCTTTCTGTGCCCAGGGTGAATATAATCTGGTCATGATCACTGGTCCCTAGGCAACCTTCAAGTTGCAGTCCAGCAGCAAATTCATGTCTATCCTTCATAATCCAGGAGAAATGAAAGTTGCCTGCACTGGATGCAATGCCTCGCATACAAAAGAGGGATCATCTCTAATTTTTAGAAACTCTTGCAGATCATCTGTTGTTGGCTGCATAAGAACATCAGCTCATCTCATAAAGCAACATCCTCCCAAAGCCCGTGTGATAGCGCTGGCACCCTGGCTGACACCCTGGTTCCCAGCAGGTACCACTGTGCCCCACTCCTGTGCCTTCACAGCAAGCACAGGAACACTCAGAAGCGTCCCGAGTCCTTCTGCATCAATGGGCATCAAGCATTTCTGATTTTGACACATCAGTTTGCATCATTTTAGTGCTTCTGTGATGATTTCCAGTAATGCAAAAGGATCAAAGACTCTCTCCTTCCAGTCCCAGTTTCTCCAAAGCACACATCTGATTTTAGAGCTTAGTGTGCCAAGAGGACAGTGATATGCAGAGCATGGATAACATGCTGAAAATCTCGTCCCCACAATGTGTCATTGCAAAGCCACCTCTAAAAGCAACAGGTGAACTAAAAGAAGATAGCTTCTCCTCATTCACCTGATCCCTGCCTGCCATCAGCAGCAATGTTTAGGTCCAGAGCAAGTGTGGGAGGTGGGTGAATATGCCCCAGTGATAGCACACTCCTGTGGAGCAGCCAGTCTGGCGCGCACCTCTGGCAGCTCCCAGCAAGCAGGTAGTTCCCATCTGGGCACGTCAGGCATGTCCCCAGCTCTGCTAGCCCTAGAGATGAGGTGCAAGGACACAGAGAGGGCCATGGGAGAGCTAGAGGGCATGACCCCTCTTTAGGCAAGTCTAGCTATCCCCACCAGTGCTCCCATCCAGCCAGGCACACCTCACATTGCAGCTGCTGATTGCATCTCCCAACCACCCCTTTGGCAAAGGAGAGAGGACTTGCACCACTCCTTACCTCAGCCATGAAGTTCTGCTGAAACGTCTCCTCCTGGAAGGGTTTTGTCCGCAGGCGGTCTGCAAGGTAGAGAGGGATCAGCCTGGGCAGGTTTGGCTGACTTCCCACCCCAGCTTCCCCTTTCCCTGACCATGGGGTGAGGATGCTGCAAGGGAAAAGCTCCAGCACACTCTTCCCAGAATCAGCAGGAAACAGCAGCAGCCTCTTGGATTAGGGACACATCACCTGGTTAGCAGAAGGTGCAAGTACCACAAGGAAGTTGAAAAAACATGGTTGAGCCTGCTGATGCACACAGCAGCCAGGGAGAACCAATAGTCCATCCACACTTGTCCCAGCACATCTCATTGAGGAGTAGGGAATGGTGGCAGGACATGCTCAACACCATTCCCAGATCTTACAGCTGGAATAAGCTGAGTCTGTGGGACAGGGCACTGCTTGTCCAGCTGCTCATCTGAAGTGGTGAGCCAGCCTGTGTCCTCCTCTTACAGGACAGGGACAAACACCTGTTATATTCTGCTCTGCACCTTGTCCAAAACACTAGTTTTTCCACATTGTTGCTAAGATGCGGTCTGGAGAAGCAGCTGGCTGGATTTGCTCAGCCACTAGGGTGCAATGCCTCCTCCCAGCTTTCTGCCCTGCACCAAGTAAGGGACAAGAGAGGCCAGCTGCTCACCAGCATCAGTCCCTAGACCCTAGACAGGATGTCCAGGCTGCTCCAAGCCCTGCAGAGATTGCATGCAGCAGGACAGAGGGAAGTCCAGCTGGCCAGTGTAGCTCTAGTCCACCTACAGGGCAGATGCAGGCTCCTGTGGTGGGGCATGGGACAGGGTCTGGGCCACAGTATCTTCCTGGATGTGATAAACAAGCCCGGGCTGACCCCCACTAGTCCCTGCATGCTCAGGGTGCAAGGTTCCTGCAGAAGTGCAGCTATCACCTGCAGCAGCAGGACAAAGCATGGCAGTAGCAAGGGATGACCCCAGCCAACCTCCATAGGTAGGGAACAAACCACCCCCCAGGGTGGCTCCCCCAGCAGGTCCTGACCCATGTCCTACCCAAGGGGGCTACTGTCTGCCCATCACCCCGATGGTAAAGTAGGCTGGGTGCTGGAGGGGGGCCCATGAGCACGGCTGCACTTCCCATGTCTGGGAGAGCCGGGAGCCCCTGGTTGCTCTCCAAGCACTCAGTGAGCTACTGCACTTGGGAAGGGAGCCTGACACCACTGCAGGGCCAGCCCCTGCTGGCATCCCTGCTGGCTCCTGGGGACCAGCCAGGTGCTCTCAGAGTAGTGGAGAGCCCCTTGGCTACTCCCCAACTTCTACAGCTATCGGTCAAGGGCTGTTCCTCCCCCAGCTCTCCCCAGAGGCTGCTCCCAGCCTTCTGGCTACTGTTGTGCTGCTGGCTCAGCTAAACATGAAACACAAGCCTGGCTGGGTAATAGCCAGTGGGAGCAAAGCACGCCAGCCCAGTGCTAAGGAGGAAACTCGCTCCCTGCCCCAGGCATCCCTCCTCACCTCTGCTGAGAGCGGCCCCGCTCTCCCTGTAATCTTCAATCTCAGCATCCTTCTGGAGCACCAGGGAAATCAGCTCTTGCACCTGGCACTGCAGCACCAGGTTCATCTGAATCAGGGGCCGCACGAGGTGACGGAACACCTACAATGGAGGAGGAATGCTCTAGTAAAGGTCCAGGTCTTGGGAGGCACACAGCTGTCCACAGAGTGGTCAAAGCAGGGCAGCTGGAAAGGTCTTAGCAAGAGCTGCAGCCCAGGTCACACTGTGCTCCACAAAATACCTCACATCTCACCCAGATCCAGTGGGAAACGGTCAAAAGATGTGAGCTGGAAGAAGGCAGACCAGATGCTCTGGGACACATCCCTCCATCCCAGCCCCATCCTTTCACAGCTGGGGGTTGTAGCAGGGGAGAGCTTAGGTGGGAGAGCCCGATGGAAACAGAGCGCAGGGATAGGCAATGCCCCACCCACCACCTGGGCTGCAACAGGAAACAGAGAAGCCCCATGTGCCACCCAGACCCTCCCCATGGCTCTGCACACCTCATGGCATGTTGCTATGCAGGAAACAGGCATGGCTGGGTGAAAAAACAGAAAGACACGAGGTGTCAAACTGCAGCTTGATGACCAGGAGAGACACTCCCAGGGACATAAGATCAAAAGCAAAAGAGATCCCAACATCCAGGGCTTGTGCATTGCAGCCCACCAGCATACCCTCTAAGCTTACACCCACACAAGCCCCTCACAGAGCCCTGGGCATGCCCTCTGTCTCACAGCCCAGCTGGGCCACCCTGGCCCAGCAGGCACATGAAGCAGCCTCTCTCCTATCACCTCCTTCAGTCTCTGGAAGGGTACCTGAGATCCCCCAACCTATTGTGCCCCTTATTTCTGTGGCCAGGCTGAGCCCACGGGTGAGAAGACAGCAAACCTGGCACTGTTCCTGAAACATTCTCACTCCTATGGCAAGCCCACAGTGGGCTCTGCCCACCCCCAGATATGAGCCCAGAGGTGGTGGCCACCACCCACTGGAGCACTTGGAGTGCACCACCTGCAGCAGAGGTGGGGTGGGCCAAGCCAGGTGGGCTCTATGCCTTCCTCAAGCCCCTGGCTGGGGCAGAATTCACCCCCATTACTGCATCCAAACCAGCCACACTCAGGACCCCAGCTGCTTCCCACCTCCGTGGTGTCTTGCAGACATCCAGTGTGTGTCCAAGACAAAGCAGAGGAGCAGCCGGGAACGGAGACTCTGCACCTCCTCAGCTCAGCCTCTGTGCATCTTGCCCGACGAGGGACACCAAGTTCCTGGCGTAAGCCAAGCCAGGACCCCGATTACTTGCTCCCCAGTTCAACCCTGACGCTGAGAACAGTCCCCGCAGCAGCTGGGGAGCCCGGCTCTCCCCCCGCGATGCCCAAGCTCGGCCGTGGGGGCAGAGGAAACGCGCCCCGCGGCTGCCGGGCGCTGCCTGCGGCCGCAGCGGAGCCGCGGGGCCGGCCCGGGGCCGGGGCTCCGCCGGGCGGTTCGCGGGCGCCGGGCGCCCTCTTGTGCGCGCAGGGCCGCAGGGCCCGCGGGGAGCCCGGCCGCAGCGCCGCCCCACCGGCAGGGGTCCGGCACAGGGGCTGCCTCTGGAAACGCAACATGCCGGGCAGCCCCGTGAAAGGGAAAACCCGTAAAAGCCGGGAGACTCGCCTGTAATTCCGCCCGTCGTGACAGACCAGCTGCGGGTCATTTGGGGGTACCTGCCGCCCTGTGCCCTGCTTCATGGCTTGCTCCTAAAGAGAACAGCACCACTCTGCTCCACAGGGCGCTGGCAGGGCATCACCCTGCACTGGACATAGAATTACAGAAAGGTTTGGTTTGGAAGGGACTTTCAATACAACTCACTAGATCAGGTTGCATAAAGCCCCATCCGACCTGGTCTTGAACACTTTCACTTGAACACCCACAACTTCTCTGGGCAACCTGTTCCAGTGCCTCATCACCCTCAAAATGAAGATTTTTTTCTAGAAGCTAATCTAAATGTCTCCTCTTTTAGTTAAAAATCATTTCCCCTTGTCCTATCACAATCTGCCCATGCAAAAAGCTGTTCTCTCTCTTTTTAATAAGTCCTCTTCAAGTACTGGAAGGCTGCAATGTGGTGTCTCTGGAGTCCTGTTCTCCATGCCAAACAATCCCATCTCTCACAATTTGCCTTTGTAGGAGATGAGCTCCAGCCCTCTTATCATCTTTGTGGCTCTCCTCTGGACCCCCTCTAACATGTCAATGTTTTTCTTGCACCAAGCACCCCATATTTGGATGCAGAACTCCAGACGGGCTCTCACAAGGACATTTCACTCATGCCCCAGCAGCACCACGTGCTGGGCCTGTGTCACTGCATAGCACAAACCAAAGCCTCAATGGGAAGAAATGGGGACAGTAAACTTTAGGAGAGGCAGAAGGCAGAGTCAGGCAACCTACAGTGACCAGTGTGGCTGGAGACTACTCAGAAGCATCTAAGTATAAGGAGATAATCCTGAATTTTGGCCACTCCCCTCCCTGAACTCTCTGCAGCTTTGCTCACCATCTCCAAGGGAGCAGGGCAGCAGTGGAAGTCCCAGTAGAAGGGCAGTCCTGACAGCTCGCTTTTGACGTGCAGCCTGAGGCCACTGGGAGAGTGGTGGCAGGAGAAGGAGGTGGTGGCACTCGGCTGCCCTGCCAGCAAGGGGCACATCAGGTTGCACAAGTGGTTCAGGAAGGAGGACACGTGAACTGTCAGCCGCTTGTTCAGCTCCTGGGAAAAGGCAAGGTTAGGGGGCATGGCACAGCACTGCGGAAAAAACAGCAGAAATCCCAGCGCCAAAGGAGACAAACTACTGAATATTTCACAGCAAAAAGCCATCCCTGGGCCTTGGCTTCCAGCTCTCTGACATGACATTCCTCACTGATTCTCTGAAGCCAGCCATGCTGGGGAGAGTCCCCTATCCCGCCAGTCCAGGATGGGCAGGGTGCAAAGGTCAGCACTAGCACATCTGTTCCGCATGCCACCACAAGCACCATGGCCTGGCTGAGAGCCAACAGCAGGACAACCTGCCAGAGGTGGGGGATGGTTGCAGGCATCTACCCATCCCTCTTGCCACCAGTCACACAGCATTATGTGACACAGGGACATGCCACTCCAATGGCACATAAAGCCCTGGGCACATGGGGTGAGGAAATGAGGCTCCATGCATTTTGGGGGCCAAGCTGACAGGATGTCCCACGAGAGACTGTACTAGCTATGAATGTGAACAGAATCTCTCTGTCATGAGTAGAAGGCAGCCTTGTTTCAAGCTTCTCTTTAGTACACTGACCCTGGGGAAACCAGCTGCCCATCCAGCCCACAAGTGAAGAGACTGTGCCAGCCTCTGTATGCAGACCCACCTGGCTGCCCCGGGCATGCTAAATAGTGTGGCCCACTCTCCCAGCAGAATGGTGTTTGGCCAGGTGGGGTGACAGGGCTTGGACACATCCACACAGGGACTTCCCAGGTTGGGTATTTGCACCCGAGCCCAGTCAGACCCAACAGCCATTGTGTCACCAAGCAATTTATGCTGGTATGTCAGCTGCTGGGAGGAGAAAAGGAGGCCCCTGACCTTTTCAAATACTCACCTTGGACCTTCGTCCCACAGCTTCGGCATCTGCACTCTCGTACCAGATGCTGCTGAGGTCAGAGATCAGCAGAATATAGCCAGTGTCCATGAAGCACACTTTGGCAAGAAAAGTGGACTCGCCAAAGCGAACAGAAGCCCAGGGCTGAGTCAGGAGGCTGCTTTCCAGCTCCTCAGAGCCCTCCATCTGCAAGAGAACAACCAGGTCTCTGCCTCAACCCCCACCCAGGAAGGCCTGGTTCCTGGGGTGGCCTCACAGGGACCCTCAGTCCCGGCTGGCCCGTTTATGGTGCAGTCCCACCTGATGGCACGGAAGTGAGGATACTCAGCCAGCTGTGCTCACACATGCGAGCAGCAGAGCTGGGGCGTGTGTTTTGGAAGCTTTCAGCAGGGCAGGTCCTGCAGCAGCTCACAAGAAGCACCCCAGATGCACCAGCAGGCACACGGCAGTGGAACTCCTGCCTCCCCGGGTTACGCGGTGCTTGCTGGCGTTAACACATCAAGATCTCTACTCCCAGATGAACATTTAGGCTGCCCCGCCGGCACCGGGCGGGTAGCAGGGCGCTGCAGCCTCCTCCTGCTGGGGCAGCCCATCCCTGCGCTCCACGCGAGCCCGTCCCCTCCTGCAGTGACACCGGCAGAGTGCCGGCAACCCTCTGCTGCTTCCCTCTCATCCCTAGGACGGGCTCCGCGCCCCCCAAAACACTCGGGGACACAGCGACCGCGGGGCGCCCGCAGGCCTGGAGCTCTGCGGAGCCGCAGCATTACCCGAGGGCAGGAGGAGTAGGCGGCCGGAGGATGCAGAGGCACGGGCTTGCGAGGGGCGCCGGGCCGGAGGCGAGGGCAGACTACGGCTCCCGGCATGCTGCTCTCTTCCGCGGCGTGCGGGGCCGGGGCACGCCGGGACGGGCGGCTCCTTGCGCTCCGGGAGCCGCCATCCCCCCCCAGACCCGCTGGGAACACACTGGTGTTCCCTTGTCTGCTCACAAGGACAGCGAACCGAGCTGCCGTGTCCCTCTAGAACGTCCGCGGTTGCCGTAAGGGGTGTTACGGCCAAGATGCTGATGGGGACCGAAATGCCTTAGGAGTTTATTCTGCGCTTGCGCCTGCTACGAAATGTCCTGGCACAAGTGCCCTGCTGGGTTCAGGGCCCGCTGCAGCCGGAGAGGCAGCGACAGCGGGGAGCTCCTCCTATTCCGTGTCCCCGGGTTTATTGCTCTGCCCCAGGGTGCCGGGCAGACACGGCCAGGGCACGCACCCGCACCGCTGCTCTCCCAGGGTGTGCGGGAACAAGCCTGCTGCACCGCAGCGAGCCCTGCATAGCTGGGGCTGCAGCTGCCTCTGTCCTCACTTGCCTCGCAAGGCGGCACAGAGCAGCACTGTGCCAGCTTGGTACACCACACACCCCCTAGTTCCCTCCACGCTGAGGCCCACCCTTACCGCAGGCACTGATTTCCAGGCCTCATCACCCATTCTCTGACTGTGATCCCCCACTTGCACACCATGCATTGATGCCATCCAGGCTGGGCCCACAAACTGCTCCCGCTGAGCTGCCCCTGCGTCTCCCATTTACACTCTTTGCACACACCCCTCTGCTAACCCCTCTCCCCAGCACGCAGGCTGCAGCCTCCTCCCACAGCAGTGCCAGGGTACCGTGGTCATTGCACAGCGTTTGCATCCTGACAGGGTGTCAGGGAGCAGGGGAGCAGGCAAGGACTTTGCAGAGCAGGACAGACTAGGTTGCATGATTAGGTTTGTGGTACAGGACCCAGTTGGACTTTGGGCACAGCTGAAATTGAGGGTCAGGTGGGGGTGCTGGTTGGATGAGGATGAGCTGTGCCTTTATGCTGTTGTGCACAGCTGTGGGGGTCACAGAGGGATGGGGAAAGAAAGCTCACACCTAGGGACCTGCACACACAGTGCCACCTCATCCCTCCCACCCTGCATCCACCTTTGGGTGTTTCACCTTGGGACCAGGTGGAGGGAGATGTTCTTCTCCAGGGAAATCCACTATTGGGTAGTGCAGTCACAAGAGCACTGCCTAGGGGTTGTTTATATGGTGAGCACTACTGGGGCTAACCATCTGTAGGTGAAAGGGTGTTCATTGTTTGGGAAACTGAGCTGAGTTGCACCCTCACCCTGGAGCATCCTGCAGTGCCAGAGCATTGGTATACACCTGGTGCCATGGGCAGCGAGGGGCCATAGGCACAACTGGGGCACAGCAGGGCAGAGGTGGAGAGCCCGTTCTTCCTGAGCACACTGCCAGCAAGTGAGCATAACCAGAGTGACAGTCCTTTGGGGCTGGCCAAAGCACTGAACTCTCCCCTAGTCATCTCCACAGGGTGATGGTGGATTTTAGAGATATCCACATCTTCAGCTGCAATGGCACCAGGTGGCTCTGCTCTCCTGTCACAGTCCTCAGGGCAACAGGGGATGCCCTAGGTAAATCCCATCTAGAAAGAAAACCCCCTGGAAAAGGCAAAGTTGGTTGAAGATTTTTATAACTCGCTCTCAAGCAGGGAAGTTAGGTTTGTGTTAGGAGGGTGGAAGCTCAGGTTCCTCCAGTCCTCAAGGGCTTCAGAAATGAGGAACGAAATGGCTCACAAGCTGCCTTGCGGGCACAGCCCTGTTTTTGCATGAGGCATCCCCAAGATGACAGGGTCAGGCCACAGTGTGCCATGCAGGCATGTCTGTCTGGCTTGGCCTTATTGCTGGCTGCAGCTCCCCAGAGCTGGGTTTGGGGAGCAGGTGTGTCCCTTCCCCTGGGTCAGCAGTCCCCTCCTCAGTGGCACAGCTGCCCTCCTCCTCTTCCTCACTCCTCGGGCAGAGGAAGCAGCATGGAAAGGCTTTGCAGGAAGATGGCAGCAGCCTCCTCAGCCTAGTGGGGAGCATATATGCTTGGCTGGCTTCCCCTTTCTCTCCATGGAGGTGACAGTCGCCAGCTCTGCCTTTCCATGGCTGCTCAGAAAGCAGCCCTCGTTCCTCCAGTGTTCCTGCAAGCAGGGAGGTAAGCAGTGAAATGGGTGCCCCTTCCTCCTAGCCCACACCAGCCCCAGCCCCCTCAGCAGGACTGCCTTGAGGCAGAGCTGGTGGCTTGCCCCATGGACAGATCCAGTTCTCAGAGCAGGACATATGCAGAGCAGCTAGAGCAGCCTCTTACCTGAGACCGTGTTCTCCAGAAAAAATGACAAAAAGCCAGTTAAGAAGACAGGGACCATAAGCAGAGAGAGGAAGAGGAGGTCCAGTGGCACCCAGCCTGCAGGGACAGCCAGAATCAGCCAGGAGGTCCCAGCCCAGCCAGAGGAAAGGGGCATGAGCAACCATGGCAGAACTGGGGATTGAAGAGGTAACTGCCTGCTACCATGAGCCAACCCAGCCTCCCAGAACACTGGAGATGTGTGGTCACCATGCCATGGGACTCAAGGCTTTGCCTTGCCTGGGGAACATCGCTCATACCTGTGGCCAGGGGAGCCAGAGCCATGCCGAACCACCGCGGTACCAACAGTGCCATGAACATGGCAAAGCCAACAATGAAGATGTTCCTCCCTGAGTCAATGTCTGTGTACTGGAAGTAGGAGATCCCCGTGCCCACAGCCACGGCGTAGGTTACACAAAGCACCCCTCCTGCGAGGGGCAGGAGTCAGGCAGTGCCAGGCAGGCTGCAGGTGTGGCAACAAGGGGCAGGGCAGGGTACCCACCGTGAACTGCCAGTGGGATTTGGGTGAGGAGCCCTGCCAGCCTCGGGGACATGCCCAGCACCATGCACACCAGGGCACTTACTTGCACCGAGAGGCGAGAGCCAGCCTGGCAGAACGAAGAGTGGGAAAATGAGGATACATAGCATCACCCCCTTCTCTCCTGTCCCATTCTGCTACACACACCTGCCTTTCCCAGCGGTGGGTCCGTGACATCCTGGCAATTGCAAGTCCCACACACCTGCTTGACTGCCTCCCCATCCCCTGCCAACCGTTCCCCCCCACTTTGGCATACCTGTGTGAGGCCAGTGGCACAGGTGTTTGCAATGCTGGAGGCTGTGCCCCCAGGGCTGCCCAGCAGTCCTGCCAGGAGGCTGCCCAACCCTTCCATGCAAAGCCCCCGGTTACAGGCGTGAGGGGGTAGCCGAGGGGCTCGCAGCAGCCTCCCACACAGCACGTAGCAGCCCACAGAGTTCATGCTGCAGCCGATGGCCATGGCGATGCCCACTGCCAGCGCCCGGGGGGTGAGTAGCGGCCACCTCCACTCTCCTGCAGAGGAGGGAAAAGGGACAGGTGATAGAAATCCTGTCCAAAAGTGGATGGCCGCACTCAGCCCTGCTGCCCCCCACCTGCATAGGGGATGCGGATCCAAGGAGCAGTGAAGGTGCTGTTGGCCCAGGACAGCCGTGCCATGGTCACATCCAGTGATTCCCAGGGAATGTGGAAGTAGCTGAGGATGGCACAGACAATGCAGACACCAGCAAATGGGAGCAGTACCTGCAAGGCAAAAGAGGACGCTCAGCAGGGGACCCTCCTCCCCTGCCTGCTCTGGCCAGCACCCCATAGTTGTCCTGTCACATCTCCCAAAGAGTCATGCCACGTTTCCCCTTACACCTGCAGGAAGCATCCCAAGATGCTCTGCTCCAACACTGTAGGACACCAGTGCTTCTCCAGAAGCATCCATGTTCTGGGAGCTGTACCAGAGCTTTTCTTCCCTGCCTGTGGTCCAGGTCTCACCCAACCCCACAGCAAAGAGCCAGGCTTGGAGAGAGAACCCTGGTGACAGTGAAGAGAGCAGACAAACCACAGTACCGAGAATGTGCGCAGGGTAGGAACTGAATTCTCTGTGGAGCCCTCCCAAGCATGGGGCCAGGCACAGAAGGGCAGGCGGCAGGAACGCAGGTGCTGGGAGAAGGTGACGGCAAGGAACATGAGCCTAGGAGAGTGAGCACAGGTCACCACACAGCATCACAGTCAGTGATGGGGCCCCAAATGTGCACTATGCACTGCTGTCCCACTGATGAAAGAAAGCCCCAGGAGCCACCCACCAGTACAGTCCCTGGGCTCACATACAGCAGTGCTACACCCCAGTTAGTGGAGCAGAAGAAGGCAGCTTCCTTGTATGAGGACAGCCCAATGATGGAGAGGGTGGGGGCCAGGACCATGGGCCCACAGTGCTGCGCTGCCCACCCACACACGCCAGATACTCCCAGCACCAACTGAATCAGCCCAGAGACCAGCACTGCTCCAGAGACCTGAAAGAAGAAAAGATGGGCCTGTGGGGCAGGATGCATGGAGTACAGTCCAACACCTTCCCTTGGCCACATTCCACTGCCCCAGCAGCTGGGAACAAGTGCTTGTCTCACGTGCTCCACTCACCCCAAGCACAGAGAAACATATACATGGACATGCATCATGATCCCCATTGCCTTCACTCCTCTCTTCATGGCAAATCCCACGAAAAGAGACTGGGGGTATAGGGATATAGGTGACAAGTGGAAACCTGATGGAGCAGGATAGAGACCCCCTTTCCACCACAGGAGCACCCACCTCTTGCAATGATTCAGCCCAGCTCCTTGTGTCTCTGCAGTGAGGTACAAGGCATGTACTGGCCATGGCTGTGCCTGGAAGGAAATTTTGGAAGGGTGTGACACACATGGATCCTGAGGTCCTGGAGCTGTGTCCAAGAGGATGCAGTAAGGAGGCTGCTGGCTATACAAGGGGAAATATGCAAAAATCCCCATCCCCATAAACCCTGGCCCTGGGGAAGTGACCAGATACATTGCAAGTGCACTCAGGAGTGAGTAGGATGCTGTGCACCATCACCAGAAGGGCCAGCAGGCAGGACCCCTTGCTACCCCTCATATCCCTACTTCACCTAGCAGACACCTCATCATTGCCATTCCTCTGGCACCAGCTTGGCCCAGGACCCAAGGGACACAGGCTCCAGGGCTGTGCTTACCATTCCTGTCTGTGCTGGCACTGGGGGACAGGTGGGAGCTCAACACCATGGCAGGGACCAAGTACTCAAAGGATGGGATTTGAACCAGGGGCATCCTGAGGAAGGATACAACAATGGTTCATTAGGGAGGAAGGACAGGCAAGGGAACAGGGCTGCTCCCAAAGCCCAGGCTGCCAGAGGAACAGGGGTGGGAAGGGAAGCCGATAAGAACCCCAAAGTGGCAGGAGGTCACCCCATATTCTACATGTGTCCTAGTATATCCCAAGTGACAGCACACGGAATGGATGCAAAGGTCAGAGGCCTTGCTGAATCCCATACCCAGCCTGTGTGGACAGCACAGGTAGAAGATGGTCTGAAGGAGCTGTGCCTGATGTTGGAGCAAGGCAGTGAAGAGCTAGAGGGAAAGCATAGGAGTTTTTCTAGAAGTGTGTGAGAGAGGGAGGGGACATCTGTGACCACTGTGCAGAGATGCAGCACCAAGAGGTTTTCCTTGTGCCCCTTCCCACTTCCAGCAAAGCTCATCTTCCCACATCCTAGGAGGAGACAGACATGCCCTTCCATGGCATCATCATCCTCCTGGTGACAGCTGCTCCCCGTTCATCCCCCTTGCTCACCGGCTCCCCAGGGTGGTCTGCAGCACTGTGGAGATGCCGCAGGCAAAGAGGCTTCGTGCCAGCAGCTTGTTGGTGTTCTGGGCACGAGGTGGCTCCTGGGGCAGAGTGGGCAGCAGGAGGAGGTGGAAGATGCAGAGCAAGGAGGTCTGCACAGCCAGATGCTGTGCAGGGAAGAGATGGAGCGGTCACAAGTCCCTGCAGCAGCCAGAGCCTCAGCTCCCCATGCCCAGGCCCCCTGAGAGGGTAGATGCCCACTGGCCCCACCTGGGCAGCACTCCCTACTGCCCATTCCCCTCCCAGCACACTCTGACCAGAGCCGTGCACACCCTTTGCCTGGCAGGATGCAGCCCCTGCCCTGCAATCTGAGAGTATCCCAGCCCTCTCCTCATCATCCCATCTCTCTGGCTGCTCACCGTGGTCCCCCCTTACCTGAAGGGCTAAGCAGCAGCTCAGTAGCCAGGAGCATATCTTCTGGGATGAGCAGGATGTGAGCATGGGGCTCCCAGCTCCAGGTGCTCTGCCATGGCCCCCATTCATACTGCTGCCTTCTCCACACTGCTCACAGCGGGCAGGCTCCCACCCCGAAGAGCTCCTTGCATATCCTCACATGCTGAACTTCCACCTTCTGCATGAGCTGCCCCAGGGTTAGTCATTAACTTGAGTTGGTGAGTAACCTGCCCTTATGGCCAGGAATGCAAGTGTCACCCTGGTTTGTCACCACAAGGGCCAGGTGACAGGCAGCCACAAGCAGATCCTCAGACTATTATTGCACAAACTATCCCAAAGCCCAGGTCCCATCACTGCCTCTGTGGGCAAGGACTAGGTAGGCCACAGCCTTGACACCTCTTCCTCCATATGCTTACACTATTCCCACAAGCGGCATCCTTCAGTTTCAGTATGCCCTGCTCATGCTTGTTTCTTCCCAGCACAACATCTGCTGCCCTCGTGCTCCAGCCTGGTCTCCAATGGGGGTTTATTATACCCCCCATTCTCCTAGGAGAGTACTGAATCCTGCCACTGGACAAGGATGCAAGGGACAAGAGCTGCCTACTTGGCTGGAAAGGATCCCAAGGGCACACAGGCACAGGATGCTCATGTTTTTGGCACAGGGCAGAGGTGGCTGTGTCAGTGACCTGGTCAAGCCCTTGCTGCTCAAGGCTCACTCATTAACAGGTAAGACTTTGGAGAGCAAAGAGCAGTGGAGAACATGCATTCCCCACATTCCCAAGGATGGGGATCCTCCTCTCTGCTGTTGTCCCTGTCTGCACCAGGCATATCCCTCCTGTCACGAGAGAGACTGCAGGACAGGCCTTGCAGGTCTCCTGGGCTCACTGGCAGCACCTAGGATCTGTCTTGCACAGCAGCTCCACAGGCAAGTGCATGGACATGGCTCTGCTTTGGGGCAGGCATGCTGCCAGTACGGAGCAGCTCAGCAGGACAAGGCAGGCACACAAGAAGAACTACTTTTATTGGAAGAGATTTGCATCTACAAAAGAGTGAAAAACAGGTGTAAAATCCACAGTAAAAAGAAGGGGCATGATGAGCTGGGCTGGTCAGCAAGACAAGGTGCCTTCTTCCCACTCTGAGGAGCAGTCAGGCACTGTTTTCTCACTGATACAGACAGCTGGGGTTTGGGATGGGGTCACAGACCACCCCAGATTCAAAACACCCAACACAAGCAGGATAAGGAAGTTCAGCTCTAGCCACACCTCATCCCCACCAAGCCCAGCGGGGCATAGCCACATCAGGGTACCTGCTTCGTGTCACTCTTGCAAGTTCCAAGAAGTGGCCTAACATCCCCCAAATGTAAATATTGCTTTGACCAGCCAGCTCATTCTCACCTCCTTCAACCTCCTCTCCCCTACCCCAGGCACCCCACCTTCTCACTGAGGTCACTGCCTTAGCCCCTTCACCCTGCACACACAGTCCCAGCCTCCAACATGCCATATGCCACCTCTGTCCAACACCACTCACTACAGGAAGAGGTACAATACCCCCTTTGTACAAGCACCCCAGCCCAAAGGCAATCCATATTTACCCTCCAGCTATTAAGTTCCCACCCCAGCAAGCCAGCTCTATTTCAACCTGTCTCAGCAGCCCCTAAGTGAAGAACATCCCTGCCCTAGGTGAGGGGACACAAGTGCTGGTTTGAAAGTAATGCAGAGGCCTTCAGCCCCATGCAGTTCCAGGGATCAGGGGTCCCAGAAGTGCAAGGAAGTGAGTTGTGCCACACTAGAAGGGAAGGGGAAAGGGGCTGCTGTCCTATACTCCTAACTGGGAAAAATGAAGCTCTTGATTCTACTGAGATCCATAGCAGTATGCAAGAAGCACTGCTTCAGCCCCAGAGGGTCCAGCCAGTCCTCACGGTTGGGGGCTGCATCCCATGTGGGGCCCGCAGTGGCCGAGCAAGCATGGCAGTGGAGCACCGGAGGAGCCGGGAGCACGGCGAGTCCGAAGGGGCCAGGCTGTCTGGGGGCTGCAGTGGGGGTGGTACGGTTGGATCTCTCACAGGCAGTGGGCACTTTCCGGAAAGGACCTTGTGGGAGCCTCCTGTGTTGGGCTAGATCAGGTGCCTTTGGGTAGGACAGAGCCGTCATCACACTACCCCACAGGTAGAGTGCAGTCGCTGTGACACCTCCACGATGTGGCTCCTTGGTCTTCTCATTCTCTCCCAGGCAACAGGTGCAGCTGGCTGAGGACACATTGGGCAGCTCGGGCTGGGCTTGGCCAGGGGCTGGGGCTGGTTGGGCATCCAGCTGGCACCTCCCCTCCTCGGGGAACAGCACAGGCCGGGGGCCTGCGGCGCTGACACTCCTCATGCACACAGACCGGTGCACTACAGTGATGGAGGCGAAGATGGCTGCGAAGCCCGTCAGGTACACCACACCCAGGAGGCAGGCCAGCTAAGGAGAAGCCAAATGTTAGCCCAGACACCCCCAGCAGCAGCACCCCCTGCCAGCCATGATACAGCATGGCCACAATCAACCCAGCAGCCATGATAGGAAAAGGCATTACCAGCTCCAGGGCTGGGTGCCGAGAGCAGGCAGCCACACTGCTAATGGTGGGCAGCGCACAGCCTGCCCAAAGCTGGGCCTAAATATCACAAGCCAAAATGTCCCAGCTAAAATCCAACAGTTCCTGTTTAAAACCCTAGCCAGTACCCAGTTGCCTCCATGCCACCACCATGTCCTTGAACCATGACTTGCGCAGCTGCGGACCAGCACAGGGCACACTATCCAGCACCAGGCTGCAGTCCTCAGGCAGTGCAGCTGCAAATCAGCATCTTCTGACAGCTTCCCTTTTCAACCGGGAATAAACCAAGGTGCTGCTCTCAGTGGAAGAGAGGATCCTGCTCCAAATCCACAGCCTGCTAGGCACCATGTTCTTGCAATTAACTGCTCTCCTATGCCCTTACCTTCACCACTTGCTGGTAGAACTGGCTCAGCACATGCTGCCACATGGACTGCTCCATGAGAACACAAAGATCTGTGTAGGTGAACCAGCCACGCCACATGCCCTGTTTTTCAGCCACACTGCAAGAAATATAAAAAAAAAAAAAAAGAATAGTGCACATGATATGGACCTTCCCCATCAAAGCAGCTTCAGCCCAGGTGGGCTGGGAGAAGACCCTGCTTAAGCTCTGTAAAAGGGAGCTGCAGAGCCTAGCTAAGGCTCACAGGTGTTCCAACCTCTTTTTTCACTGCAGCAGGGCTATCTCCAAGCAGGGGCAGAGCCAGGCTGCAACACAGATAAAAAGATCACCCCCACCCTAGACACTTACCGTCCTTCCAGCCAGCTCAGCACTTCAAACAGCTCCCGAGGATCTGTGTACAGACTCCAGTCCTGCCGGGACAGCAGTTAAAGGTCAGTGCAGTCAGGGCAGGTCACCCAGCACCCAGACACATCTTTATCCCATCAAGGGATCATGCGGGGGAAAAACAGAAATCCAGACTCCCCTCAATGTCTCTTTTCCCCTGCTCTGTGAAACAGTTGGCAGCAGTGAGTTTCACTTACAATGGCACTCAGGAAGTTCATCTCCAGTGTGTTCATGGTCTGGACATCCACCTTCCCTGCTGCTCCCCACTCGTCGTTGAACACCTCCTCTTCCTCACCCTCATCATAGAGGTACTTACTCGCAACCATCTAAAGGCAGCACAAAGGACAGGATCTCAGTCTCCACTGCACTCCTAAAGGCTTCCCTCCAGCCCGGTTACCCCCCTGCCCACCACCCACCATGGAGATCAGGAAGAGGTCTGAAGATGAGATCTGCTGGAGGTATTCAGGGTTCCGGTGCCGGAGTCTCTCAATGTAAACCAGTGCCAACATCATGGAGCAGGGTGAGATGCAAGCTTCCCTGTAGGACAGGACAAGAACCAATGCTACGAACATCCTAGGCACCAGGGCACAAATTGGCTGCTCCCTCTCCATGCAGACAGTAGGAAGGTTTAGCAAATCACTAGATAGGTCACAGCCTTGCCAGCTCTGTGCCAGCTATCCTGAGCTGCAGCTACAGAAGACACAGGGGATGCAGGGTGGAGAGCAGAAAACACTTGTTTCTGTTCCTAGGCACAATCAGCTCCAAACAGAGCAACCCTGCCTGCAGCAAGGCATGCTGTGAGGGCTCAGCTGCCAAGAAGAGACTCCAGGTTCAAACCTGGTTGCCCAGGGAGCTGCAGATCTAGCCAGTACAGACTCCCTCTAGTAAGAGTGCATATGCACCCCAGAAAGCAGGATAAACTCAACTGCATCAGGAAGTCACTGTGCCTGCTGTCTGTGCCTCCAGCTTCTCTTTGACACTAATCAGGTCTAGGCACAAAGCCAGGGGCTGGCCCAGGGGACAGAAGTGAGTCACAGCTAAGACTAGAGCTCCAAGTTTTGACACTGGACATGAAGGGGCAGGTTTTGCTTCTTACCGAGATACGTGAGACACATATTTCTTCTGGAGTCTGCGGATAGGACTGGGAGCCACTTTCTGCAGCAACTCCACAGCAATATCTAGGAGAGAAAGCACCAAAAGACTTAGTCCCCTGTGGCCCAGTCCATGCCCACCCTTCCCCTTCTCCATACAAGCCCATCAGGTCTTGGTGTTTGCTCGGCCCTTCAAGTTCAATTTAAACTGTGAGGCCTTATCAGAGGTCAGGGACAAGTGAGGAACAAACATGCAGGGCAGGCAGATCACAGCAGGAAGAGGATGTGAGTGACCAAGGCCCTGCGGCAGTGCCAGATCAGCAGGTCTGTGTCATGGGGAACCACTAGCAGTCAGCTGCAGAGAAACACCCTGCCCTCACACCCTGCAAGACCTCAGACAGCCCTTCTGGAGGCCTTCTTGCTTCTTGGACCTTACATTGCACCACATCTTCATGGTGCTTTGCTCCCCTCCAACCAGCAGCATCTTCCCCCTCCAGATCTCATCAGCACTGATCCAGCTTCCCCTACACCACAGCCCCAGCACCAATGAGATGAAGTACAAGGTACCCATGTGAGCAGGAGCCTGAAACCACTAACAGCTATCAACTATCAAAGCAGGGATACAGTGTAACTGCAGCTCAGCCCCCCCCC